GCGGTTGATGATGGATGGATGGATCTTTTTTTTTTCTTTATTTAAATTTCTGACAACCAACTTTATTGTCCCGTTTTTTTTTTCCCAAAAAGAACAGGACCTCACATTTTAATCGCACTTTTCTCAGGTCTCTAATGCATTGTTTTCCAAAGCCTCTTCAACCATCTCTTGCGACCCTCAGGCATGCCGCAAGAGGCTCTTCAGGCCTTTGATGTCACCTCAATATTGAACATGTTGGTGTGAACGTAGACCCCAGAGCTAACGTTAGCGACGACAGCCCTGCTACAGGCTGACGCTGTAGCCCTGACCACTGTAGAACAGATATTCAGAGCCAAGAAAGTCTTAAAAGGTTTAATATTATAACAGTTGAAAATATACAGATAAATATAAATGAAATATGAACTTTTTTATTTGAGTTTATGCAGATGTCTATTTATTGATTCTGTCTTCAATGTAAAATTTAAATATGGCTATTTAATAAATGTGATTACCGTATTTTTCCGACCATAAGGCGCACCGCATTAAAAGGCGCAATATCAATGAACGGGAATATTTTCATACATAAGGCGCACCGGGTTATAAGGCGCATTAAGCGAAACAAAACAGTCACCGAAACAATTAACCGGAACAACCAAGCTGTCATGTCTGTCTGTTTCTGTGTTTTCCTGTGTTCTTTGTGGGGTAATCATGGGATCACACTCACCTGTTGTTAATTAGCTTCACTTGTGTCACCCGGTGTTCCCTGTGTATATATACCCCTCTCCCTCACTCTGTCGGGGTTGGATCAGTGTGATTGTGATTGTGATTGTGATTGTGATTGTGATTGTGATTGTGATTGTGATTGTGATTGTGATTGTGATTGTGATTGTGATTGTGATTGTGATTGTGATTGTGATTGTGATTGTGATTGTGATTGTGATTGTGATTGTGATTGTGATTGTGATTGTGATTGTGATTGTGATTGTGATTGTGATTGTGAGAGTCTCTCCAGTACTGCATTTGGGTCCTGCCTGCTCCCTGCGATGCTCGCACATGACACAAGCATGCCCAGATCACTCTCGTCATTATCTGAGTCAGTCTCGTTGCTGTTAATTAGTTGTTCAGTGATGATTCTGGCCTTTGTGAAAGCTTGGACGACATTTGAGACTGATACCTTAGTCCAGGCATCCACGATCCATTGGCAGATAATAGGCGTAACTCGCCCGGCGTTGCCTCCCTGTCTTGGTGAATGTGTGTTCGCCTTCTGTCATCCAATGCTCCCACGCAGCTTGCAATTTAACTTTAAACGCCCTGTTAACACCAATATTTAGCGGTTGTTATTCTTTGGGTAATCCACCCGGAATGATGGCAAGCCCAATTAGTTTGCTTCACTTGGGTTTTGACAATATCGGTGAGATGGGCGTGCATGGAGTCGCAGATCAATAGGAGATTTTTCGAAAAGGGTAGTGACATAAGTTGGACACTGGAGGACGCTGTTATTGTTGTTGTTCACCCTTCCAGTGTCAGGCGGTTGTCACTATTT